CAGATGTGCTTTACTGGAGTGGAGTAGCAAGCTAGCTAGTTGAAGTATTTGAAGAGCCATACACGTGTACTGGCTATTGGATCAGCATTTTACTGCACTCGAAGCACAAGGCGTTCAGAGGGGAGAGCTCAATAAAGCAGCAATGGAGATTCCTAGAATGACAGTGGTCTACATGTATTCGAACGAAGAGCAGTAATGAAAAATAACTATAATGACAGTGTTTTTACTAGAACATGCGTGGACTCAAAGCTTTGCAGTGGCGTATTATACATTTGATACCATCATGAGTCCATACTCACAGTGACGAGCTCCCTCATCGAGCACGATTGATGAGTGCCCGGAGCTCGCTTATCGACTGCAGTATTGACGTGTTTTGTGCTCGCATAGAGCAGAGGTCAGCCTTGATCTGAGCCAACTCATCCCAATCATATCTGATACAGATATCGCCATCCTCGGTTGCGACATCAATCAAGGCCCGCATTTCATCTTTCCAGGCGTCAAGAATATGCAACACAATCGTCTTCATCCACAGAGCGTGGGAGAAAGTGTATTTGACGTTGTAGCCATCGTCAGTACACTTCAAAATGCCGCAAGTCACCGACTCTTGCAGACTTGTGTGGACATTTTTAGCATGCCTCTTCTTGTCTTCTTCCCGAACGTCGTTGTACTTTTCCATCACCAAAACGACATCCTTCTCAGCAAACGAAAACCCTAAAATTGACCCCAAATTCAAATGTGATCGGTCCAAGGGTGCTAGCTCGTCGAGGCGGTTGAGAAGCAACTCTTCGATCTTGCTTAGAGCTGCCCCCGACACGGCCTGGTCTGGATCCGAACAACCATCATCTCTGTACATCACGTCCAATATCTCGCACGCCAGCAGCGGGTTCCCCCGAGATTGGCTTGTGACGGTCTTGCTAAGCGTCGTATCCATGTCAGCCATGTTCGAGCAAAGTCTCTTGCGTGCCAGCTGGCCAATGTCATCCACACCCATGGGGGACATTCGCATATGACGAAACCTGCCGCTGTCAATCCCCTCCTCGTTCAAATCAGCCCAGAATTCCGCATTGATGTTCAAGTCAAACTCATTTCGGGCTGTCGTGATCACCAACAGGTTGTTTGCTCGTTCATACAATCGTTGCAGAATCTTCCATGACATTTCATCCATCCCAGAAACGTCATCAAGCGCCAGAAGTACCAATCGATAGTCCGACGTACAGTGCAGGACAGCAGTCACCAAATGCTTTGCAATGGCGTTCCATTCGGACATCTTGCGGCTTCGATCTGACCACGTTCCGATATCAGATAGCTTTGTTGAGAATATAAGACCACCGAACATTTCGATGTATTGCATTGGTATTTTGGCTTCGAGGCAGATCTGAAGCAGGGATACGTAAAGCTGAGCTTCCTCTACCTCAGCCTTTTGAACAAGGCTTTCAGAGTGCCCGGCGGTTTCAGCAGCCCCAAAAGAAGGGACGTGCTGTTTCCGCCGCAGCAATCCCAAGAAGAGGGGTCGAACAATGCTGTATGACGGAAGGAAGTGACAAGCTCAGTCTCTCGTTTTGACCCGGATGCAATTCGCATAGCGCAAGCATCCTTTCTACTTACCTGAACGGCCTGAAAGAATCATCTTCGCAGAAAACAAGTCGTGACATATGATGCGGCGCCTTTTGGGCCTTGATATAGTGTTCGATTTCCTCGGCAATGTGTGATATCAGGTACGATTTCCCGATACCGTAGGGCCCTGAGATGAATACTGTCTTGGATGCATACGACTCCTCCATGACAGACTTTGCAGTGATCATCAGGCTTTCAACTTCCTGTTGTCGCCCTACAAACTCCGCCGAGACGTTCTTCCAAGCCTTCCGCACGTTTTCGTTGGGGTTGTAGATCTTCACCAAATCGTCGTAGCCTTTGGCCTTGACGGGGGGTAATGATTTGAATGGACGCTCACCAGCCTTGTTCTTGACGGCTTCGTCCACTAGGATTCCCGGATTCGACTTGCTTGCCATCAGTCTGGCTGCCAAGTTGACAGAAGGACCCAAAATTGCGTACTCGTGCCGAGTCACCCCACCAACAACCCCACAGTAGGCTTTCCCGTACGTAGCTCCCATCTTGCACTCCATATCCAGCTCTGTCTTGAGCAGTGTCTTGATATTTGAAATGCAAGGGATGGCTCTCTCTTCAATCATGTTCGGGAAGGTGCTCCCTCGCAAGCCAAAGTTGGCGATAACTACCAATCCCTTGTCATCCACAATGAACTGCCGCAAGTGTGCTTTGTAGTGGGTGACCTCACTGTTCACGATGAACAGAATAGAGTTTAGCAGCTGCAGAGTTTCGACATCCCCCGCCGATTCTCCGTTTAGGCTTCCTGTCAGCTTGGGTTGAATAAAAACCGTGAAAACATCCCTCAGTTCGGATTGACTTTGACCACTCTTGACAGTCTTGGTCCTGGCCATGCTGATTGTCTTGTGGCCAGAGGCTGACATGTTCTCTTCTTTGGAAAACTCATCTGAGTACACGACAGAGTGAACGTATCGTGACATTCTCCGCTGGAGGTCCTCCAGTTCTTGCGCGGACCAATTTTGACAAAGAGAAGACGCGGATGTGCGAGGCTTAATAGCGGGGAGCGTCATGGTTGATGTGACATGAAACTTTTGATCGTGCTTGAACGCGAGAGTGTGTGGCTGTCCGTCTGTGTATGCCTCTGTGAATTCTACGTGGTCCCCCTCCAGCAACGCTCTCATGGCCTCCGGCGATGCGACGACCTCCCCCAGTTGGGACAGATCCATCCCATTCGCAATTTGTTGAATAGAATCTCCCAGAATGATGTACTCCATGCGATCCATGTCTCCACAGTGAGCACCGACGACTGCACCGTATCCCAAGGCGCAGTGCAAGTTCAGAGTGCAAATATGTTCCCCAAAGCGCGTGACGGGGTAATCGGAGCACTTGTCGACGAGTTTGGATGCACAGAGCGCCGCAAGGAGAGTGACGGGTAAATGTTGCTGTCCCTGTGGCAACATTTCTTTGGTCCATTCGACAATGAGGGCATCTCCGGCAAATTTGAGAATGTCACCTCCGTATGCTTTGATTTCACTGACAATCGTTTCAAAGTAGCTGTTGATGATCTCTGAGAGAGCTTCGACCTCGAGCGATCGAGAGAGCTTGGTAAAGCCCGAAATATCAAGGAAAAGAATGGCACTGATATGGTGTGATGCTTGCACTTCGGTGGCGAGACTCTGATTCCCTTCTGACTTTGTGGATAGCGTGGTCAAGTCAACACTCATGGATCGGTCATCTGCCACCGTATCAGATTCCAACCGGCGGTTGTTGAGTCGACCTTGTCGTAGTTTTCCAACTTCAAATTCCGGGTTTGCCGCCGAGGAACCCATGTGTTTGGAAGCCGAGCGCAAGGATCGTCTCCCATCACCACCACTGCTGCAAGTGCTGCCAAGATATCTACTGTAACCACCACCACTCCGCAAGCTTTCGGAATCTCCACTGGCCACGCTTCGTTCGGCTCTCATGTCACTGGCACAAGTCAAATCGTCGTCGTATTCCGCTACATCGCGAAAGTCGTGCTCTGTATCATCGTCAATATCCGATACCCCATCGTCATTGTCAATATCCGAGACTCCGTCATCGGCAAAGAAGGTGACACCGGAGTTTTCGACCTCGGATTCCTCTTCTTCGTCAGAGTCTTCTTCCGACGATGACTCCTCTTCCGAGCCGCTGTCATCCTCTTCCGAGGAAGATCCGTCTTCGTCTGAGGATGCGCCTGAATCTTCCTCCGAGGATCCATCATCCGAAGAGGAGAATTCCTCTTCCAGAAGTTCATCTAGTGATGTCAGTGTATTCAAGAGATCGGACATGCCCCCCTTGGCGGATGGGGTTGGCGAATGACTGCCCGCACTCACACTGTTTCGAGGCTTGGCTTTTGGCAAGAGGGAGGCGGATGCCGGCACGGCTGCCGACGATTCTGGTGGTACTAGGACAGGCATGGGAACCTCGAGTGTCATGGCTCCCCTTGCCAATGGTGACGACTTTTTGTCCAACTTGACTTGTTCTCTTCTCTGTTTCATATCGGCAATCAATTGTTCGACGACGATGCGCGGCAAGTGCGACTCTAGTCTATCAATGGATTGCATGGTCATGATTTTGCCCAATGTTTCTTCTTCATCGCGACCGGATTCATCGATTTCACAGTCGTCGTCGTCATTGTAGCAATAGGTACTGTCATCCGCCATGAGACTACTACTGTCTCCATAGCCTGGAGGCATGGCAATGGCGAGGCCTCTGTCGCCGCCCCTGACGCTATTGGGGCCCAGTTTGTGATTGGTGGTGATGCTACTTTGGCTTTGAACCGAATGATGAGAAGCCCTGGCAATGGGATTGGCAATGGCAATGGAAGTAGCGGCTGCTAAGGCGGCGGTAGCAGAATTTGTCGTAGTGGTCATGGGAGAAGAGGCCAGAGGAGGTAGTTTAGGAAGGCCCTTGCTGGTCGTACTGGTAGTCGCAGTACTAGAGTTAGTACTTGTGCTTGTGGAAGGAGAGGAAGCAGCCCCTTCTGGCCCCGGCAGAAACGCCAGGTTAAGAGAGTTCTTGAGAGAAGTACTGGTATCAGACGATGGACGGTCGAATAGGTCCTTGGATGAAGCAATGCCGTTGTTCGTGGGTGGCGACCCCGGGGGCATCATACTCTGTCTTGAGCTCGATCAGGTCCTTGGTATATTAATGGTAGCACTGGGTAGCACTCGCTAAGATAATAGATAATGGGTATTCAAGGTCGTGAAAGCAACCACACCCCTACGTTTTCGTTGGTGGTATTGTATCGAGGACGAGATTGGAGATTGATACCCAGTTGTGCTTGAATTCTTGGTTGATCGATACCGTAAGTTGTGCCTCAAATAATGCATCCAGGTGTTTCCTGCAGCCTGACTGGTGGGTTGCCCTTCCCGATTAGACTACCGACCGCTTATTAAAAGAGATCGATCAAGAGAAACACCCCAAAAAGGAAGCGAGACTTGAGACAGAGACAGAGACTTGCAATAGGTATATCGTAATAGCTAGTATCGTAACAATCAACAACCTCAAGTCGATAAGATGAAACAGAAACCGACACAGTGATAATGGCTATTCGACGGCGAAAGCGTAGGGAACTGTGGTGGAAAGAAACCAGAAAGACGACACCGTTTCAGAAAGAGACTGGCGCAGCTGGCGGAGTCATTTTGATTTGTTAGTTTTTAGTTAGTTGTTATTGTTGTAAAACAGCGCTTGGCCAATCGTAGAAGGCGCTTCCAGCTTCCAGCGATGCTTCCTGATCAGAGGGAAGGTGGTATGATACTCGCGGGAGCTCTCGGGTCATTGCTCACTTTTACTTAAGTAGTCCAGAGTACGGCTTTTACGGTACAGTATTAGCTCGATCTCTCACACGGAACATGTCGGAAGAGCTTCTGAATTGGAAACGGGGCTTTGATTGAGTGGCTGAGTGGTCAGTGGTGGGATTTGGCTGACCACCCAAACACCCAAACCAGCTTCCCCTATATTACTTATTTCTTTATTTGAGAAAGCGACACTGACGTTGATAAATTGACACATTCCCACAAAGAAACCTTCCTTTGAATCAAGATGGAATTAGGGAAAATTAAGAACAGAATGGGTTGCCATCTGCATCGTCAGTGGAGGAGGGCTGTAGCACGGGACAACGTCATTCAAAGTTGAAGAGTGTTGAAGGCAGTTAGGCTCACAAAGCGGAAAGGAACTTTCTAACAAAAAGCTGCCAGAGCTACTTTGTTATTGTCAAGAACGACCAGAGGAGCTCCAAAGCGATCTCCTTGATCCTTGAACAGCCTACACCTCCATACTCCATACCCAACTTACCAGTACTTGTCCCAACCAGCCAACCAGCCAACCAGCACGAGGACACCGTAGCGGTATCGCCCATATAGCCCCATGTGGCCACGTGAGCTTGGAGGCTACAGTTGCTATGGTAGCATGGTAACATTGGCCAGTACTCCAGTACGTCGCTAGCTACCGGTAGCTTGCGATAGCCTGGTGTTTGGAGTTTGGAGCACAGGAGGCTGCTTTCAGGTAATGGCATCACGTAGCAAGGGACTTGCTTGTAGCCAGGGGGTGGAGCTCGGGTGGAATCCATTGGGATCCCAGCTGTTGGTTCAGCAGCCACCATTCACAACCATTTCTATAAAAGAAATTAAATGGTTACTTGTGCAGCCGGTAGTCATGCGGAAGTCACTTCGGCTCCAAAAGAGGAAGACAGCATGTTGCAAGAAGACCAGAAAGCGTGGAAGATAGGAGTGATGATGATGGCTCTAGGCTTTGGGGGGATCTGGGGATGTTGGGCGAGGGCAACCATGGAACGTGCCGTGCGTAGCTACCGTACCAGTACCTGGTATCATCCAAACAAGAGAAATACAGCAGATTATCCAAGCTAACTACCGGTGTCATTCGATCTTCGGTGCAATTGATTCCTACCAGATACCAGTAGCGTGCTACTATTAATAGCTACCGGTACTAGCTAGCTAGAGTAGTCTATCGTTGGCAAAAGGGAAGGTAATTCCAGTTTGGGGGTGGTACCGGTAGCAGAGGAGAGCACGGAGGAGATGCGGGAGTCATCGCGGCGTACAGCAACTTTTAAGAAGTTGCAACAAAGTTACTGTATTCCTGAATCTTTAGCGAAGAACAAATAAATTGCAGTTCAATGCTTACGACATAACAGATGATGAC